AAAATGGTAAATTTATGACTTGTCATTGTGATTATACAAGCATAACAGACAACACTCACTCACATGGTGCAAAAAAAGAAGAAGAAAAGGCTTAAATACCATAAATGTACTGACATAATATAAATGCAATATTTAAACTCATTTACTGACAGGTATTTGAAAGCTGTCAGCTATATAAGACTGGGAGTTAATATTGCACAGCCTCACTGAAGATGAGTTATTTATATGCTATGTGTATATATATATATATATATATGTATATATAGGGGTTGTAATTGTGTGGAGCTGAGCACTAGAAAAGTGTATTTTACATGAGTCATTTTACATATTGTAAAATGCACATGGCTTGTTATGGAAAATTAATAGATAATGTGTATATTCTCTTAACAAATTCAAATTGTTTGTGAATATTCATTAAACAAATACCCATAACAACTTCTTCTGTTTGAAAAATGAAGGGAATCAATATTGTTGGCTGTATGTAATTGTCTGACCTTTTGATTCTTGGAACATGTTGTTTATTCCTTTTTTTGCCTGCCTTGGTCACTCAGGGGTGATTCAGGGTCTTTCTATATCGGTCCATTGATGTAATCTGTTTGCAATGTTTGCAAATAAGAATTCCTGCTGCACAATGCAGCCACTGGAGTATTTGCCCTCACAGTGGGTGGTACACATGTCTCCCTGTCGCATACCCAACGGCAGCGATGGCTATTATGATCCAAACAATGGAAATCAAACATTGTGCGTTACTGGAAGCCACTTTAGATGCTATGTGTGATTAGCCTTATATATACATAACTCGTGTAGTGTTAGAGAGAACAGGCACAAAACACGGAACAACTTTTTTGTGTCGCAGTACATCGCCTCCGCAGCCTTTACAATGGACTCCACGAAATAGGTTTATTAGTGAAACAGGCACTGCTATTGTTTATTTTTCCCCCGAGGAGCACTCAACTCTCATCTAACACTCTGAGGAATTTTATAGATATGTGGAAGAAAAAAATCCCAACAACAACAAGACATCATGAACTGCTGTGAAATAAGAAAAATATGATGTGGGTCAGTCAGGGTGCTGGGGATTTAAGGGATAATGCTTTGTAATTGGTAAACAGGGTTTTCATACAAGAACAGTAGTCCTAGGTCACAAATTCCTGGATCCTAAACTTCACAGCAGGTATGGAGAACTTGTGTCTGTATGTCACTCTGTAAAAATGAAGTGAAAATTAAACTATGAGGGTCACAGACTGAAGAGATACAGTAGAAGACAGACATTAGTGGATTGCATTTGAAAATTATTTTCCTATACTTGTTTTTATTTTTTCTGAACATAGTTGAAAATAAATTGTATTTTTATAACCTATTTGTATTATTTTAGAAATGGCAAACATAATCCCAAAGCCTTGAAATGCTGATACTGTGCAGTAAAACACTTTATATTTTAATTATAAAGGGGTATTTTCTCCTATGTTTAATGTAAGCACAGAGTCCAAACAGCCCCAGAAAAAAGATTTCCCCTTCAGCTAACAGTTGCCGAGCTTTTCTTTGCACCCTCCCCCTTCAGCTCTGAGGAGGGAGACATGCAAATTTATCTCCTGGAGGGGGTAAAAACTGCCTCATGCCAAGCGTTTTCAGAGTCAGGCACAACTTCACAACTTCACAACAACAAAGGCAAAAGGAAGGGAAAGTATAGTCTGAGCTTGAACTTTAGGACAAAATGCATGTTTCCATCTAGCCATTGCGTCTAGGGCTTATGTCTGCGAGTGCTGACTGAGACTAGAGAAAATAAGCAGGACTGTGCCACCTTTGTTGGACAATATTTTGTCCTTATCACTGAACCATGGGGGATCCAGTGAAGACATAACACAGGTAATTTTTGGGAAATTACCTATTTACCACAGAGCATAGGTTTTATAGCTATTCTGTTATAAATATAGTCTAAGATCAACAAAGTTGTGGGGTTTATTATTTTGTTTTTGTTTTTACAGTTGGTTAGAATGTCTTCAAATTGTCAAGTCAAGTCAACTTTATTGTCAATTCTGCCACATGTACAGGACATACAGAGAATAGAAACTACGTTACTCTCAATCCCTAGATAAAAAAGCAAATGAACATTTAAATATAAGAGTGATTAAAAAATGCAGGTAAAATAATTAAAAAGTAAAAATTTAAATAAATAAATACAATACAATTTTACATATAACAAGAAAGCTATACAATATACAATATAATGGGTAAATGACATTGGGTGTAAACCAGGCAGAGTAGTGCAAATAGGCAAATAGTGCAAATGGAGATTTAGTGATGTACGGTAAGAGATAGTGTAACAACAAAGTCTTATGAGGTAAATTGTGTGCACAAAATATTGCAGCATAGAAAAAAATAATCTTTTTTTTAACTGTTATTATTGTGGCTGTTGCAGGTCAGTAATGATTTTTTAAATTATGTTAATAAATGCTCCACATCTTCCTATGCGAGCTCTAATATCGCGTTGCGTGAGGGTTTGACAGCTCCGAGCAAGTGTTTGTCAAGTTCACCATACTTCAGTTGAGCCAAACCGGAAAATGTTAATAAAAGCTGTAATTCTTGCTTAATTTCACTCTGACGGTTTCTCCGTTACTCAAAACGAATATGTCGGTTAATGTGGGTTTTATTTTGACATTTTAAACCGGATGTGTCAGCATTAATATGACGCTTCTGTCTGTGGGTCGGTCTTGCCGTTCGCCCTCCGCTGCTGTCGTCTGCTCGGTTGTAACAAATGGTCCGCTATAGGTGCCATCGAGAAAACGTCGAACGACAATAACTTGAACTACTCCATGGCAAATATCGTTTTCTCTTCTAGTCTCCCCACCACTCTTTAAAAATTCCGCCTAAAAAGAAAAAGCGTTCTGTCCCCTCTTTTGGGTTTTCAGCGGACGTAAGTAACGTTAGCTAACCGCGCTGTTAGCTTCCTATGAGTGTTAGCATGTTATTAGCTAAATGCACTGAGTAACGTGTCCTTGTCTAGCTAAATACTAAATAAAACACACTAGCTATAACGTTGTTGTCAGTAGCATTCTTAAAAAAAAACTTTGTTTTTAATAAAACATGTTGGTACTAGGAATACATCGTATATTACTGCGTAAGGAATACATCGTATATTACTGTGTAACTACCGCGGACACTAATGCTAATGTGCTCCATGAATTGAAAGCAAGCTGTTACAGTAACAAGGAATTTGACTCTGAAGTAATTGGTAATGAATGTTAAGTTGTAGTTAAACGTGGTTATAAGGGGTAGCATGATAAATAACACGGGGCAAGAGTGTTGTTGTAGCTAATTAATGTATTCAAACCTGCTAATCTGGCCATCATTGCATCAGTTCCGGTGGTTGGTTCAGAATAACTCAGACTAACAATTCACACATTAAAAAACACATATTAAGTACAGCATGTAAATACTGTTTTCTGTATCAGTGCTTTATGCGGGTATTCGTTAACTCGAGTTTACAATTCGTCTTTGTCAAATGGCGAAAAATATGGAAATCCGGGAATGCCTTTCTATTCTGGATTATTATTGCTAATGTGTGTAGTCATAACCCAAAGATCCATTTGGAGCCAGGAAAAAACCCAGTTTCCTCTACAGATTTACAGATTTGATTGTACTTTGGAGTACCACTGGAACATGTGTTAGCAGGGGAAACAATTGACTGATCATTGACTGAATCTGCTGTGCCTCACGTCCTCATCTGCCCCTTTGCAGGTGTACAACAACTACCCAGAGGATCTAGGGGCAGCTCTATACCGAGAGCCATTTGACTTCAACGCCGAGCCACCTTGGGATCCTAGCTGATAGTGGAGGAGTTCATCCCAGGACTCATCCATGTGAGTAAACTAGCTGGGGAATTTATGTATCCACTTTAATTGGAGGGCTGAGAAAAATCTAATAGCAAAAACGTTGAATGTGTGGTACAGTATTTGTGTTTGCATGGTGAAGAATTATTGCAGTTCTACGGTAACTGTCATGTCCTGACAAAAGGAGTAAACATTCAGCATGTCCCAGATCACTCAGTTATTTTAGATCTACTGTTTCAGATCTATTTTCAGCACTTGTATTAAAATAACAGGACACTGTTCAGGACTGCTTTTATCTGCACTGGCTTTGCTGTTAGATTTGTTTTCAGGAACAGAGAGAAATAATCTGAGCTATAACCCAACTAATATGCATGTATTTTCCTTGAGATTATAGCTGGGTTGCATTGTATATTGTATGTTTTGTGAAGATAGAACAAGTGACCAGTTAAGCATTTTCTAAGTTACATAAGGTCCTGGTTTATTTTCAAAGAGATATTAGTGTTCAGCCTTGTTCCATTGTGCTTTTAACCAGTGTTTGAGCAGTGATTTTATTTACATTTTTTAAATGTATATATTTTTTATTGTACACCACAGCAGTCATTGTTGGCATATTGCTAGTCTCCCCATGTAACCTTTCTACATCTGGTCTGGTCCAAACTATCATGACTGGCTGAAGTACTGTGCAACAGTACTGAAAGTAAAGTTGTGGCACAGATGCCGCCAGTATTGTACCTTTGTTAATGCCATCAAACGGAACATTTTCGGGTCACCGGCTCAGGGATTAATGGCGATTGTAAGGGGTAATTGATGATAAAGTAAATGAACCCTGTGCCCCAGACTATGTGTTTTCACAGCGGCTTTTAGGAAGAATAGGCCTCTTCCACAAAGCTATCCCATAACGCAGAACCTGTTCTCTGCTCTGATTGGATGCCCGTTGAGTTGAAAATGACTTCAGTTCAGGATTTCAAAAGAGGCGTTTAGGTTTCAGCAGCAGAGAACATCATGGAATATGCTTTATCCAAAAGTGATTTTTGGTGCTGAACTTGGTGCTTTATGTTGGCTTTTCTCTTTT